AGACGATTGGGTCCTCAGGCTGATGCTCTAACCACTGAGCCAAACCGGCCAGGGCCAGATCCCTAGGTTATGTCGGTGAGGAGACTTGCCGTCCTGATACATCACAGCTGGTTAATGGCAGACCAGGGAGGGTTAGGGTTCAGACCTCTTACAGCCTCTGTGGGTGTGGTCCTCTCTCTCCTAAGAGGAGCAAATCTGCAGAATGTCTTGCTTTCAACTTCTTTCTCATTATATTAAGCAAAATAACAGAAAATGGCCCACATGTTTGCAATCATACATTTTTGTTGTTGTTGTTTATTAAAAGTTATTGTCTAGCCCCGTGGGTGGTGAATTGAATGGATTAACCATCTGCTTTGTTCAGAAACAGCAGAGACGCACCAGTGTAGGAGGGTGCTGGGCCCGCTGAGAGGCAGGTTGGGTGGGGACAGTTTGGGGGCTGTAGGTTGAAAATGTCTGGCGGTCTCATTTTATCGGGCCTGCACACGGTTTTGAAAAGTTGGGGTGACATCCAATATAGATAAGTAGGGGTTTCACATACACGCCGGAGCCTTCAGCCTCCCGGAAACATTTGTGGCTGTCTGGCAGCACTGGGCCCCCGTGGTGATGCCGCGACATTCAACCGGAGCGGAAATGCTGTCCAGTGCGACCCCCTGCTGGCCCCCCTGGCCAGCTCCTGACCCGAACCTGGCGGATTTCTTGTCGGATGTTTGTTGTTTCCTGCCCAGCCTTGTACACATTTGAGATCGTGGCCTTTGAGATAGAAGAGGAGAATTCTAGGAGGGCTCTGGCCACGAAACCACGGGCTGAAGGTCGTGTCCGTCACGCCTGCACACGGCAACAGCGCGAGGGTGGGCGAGCTGGCTGTCTTCTGCCGCTTGTGTGAGCTTGCCACCTGCTCCGCCACAGAAGGTTAAGCCCACGGCGACAGGAGTCCGCTGGGAAATGCTCGCATTTTGAAGAAACTAGTTTGAGACATCAGTTTCCTTCCTATCATCAATATGAACCTCACCTGAGGTGTTGAATATGCCAGGGCATACATATGCATATATATAATGGATATTATAAGGAATCATATAACAATTTTTATTTTTTGCAGGTTGAAAACAGTCACATATTGACAATTTCATATGGTTCAACTAAAAGAAAGAAATATATATAAAATACATACATAGTACGTGCCCCAAATCTTCCTTTCGTAGCTGTGTTACCCAAGGTGGTTTGAAGCCCAGGGGACAGAGGCCACTCTGGGCTCGAAGTCCCATAGGAAGGGTTCGTGAGTAAGGCGGTGTGTACAGTAACGTGACAGCCACAGGAAGGGCTGCTCCTGTGGTGGAGACCACTTGAACCACGAGAGCAGAGGTGGGTGGCAGGTGCCGGGGCCTCCGGGGAGGCTTCCGAGTGAGAGAGGGTTAGGTTCAGGGTCTCCACCTGAGCTACACTGACTGTTTTTTCTCATCTGCCGTGTTTCTTTCCGCTGGGGCCATGGCTGATGCGACTTGGCTCTTCGCAGTTTTGTAACCTTGCAGCCACCGGAGCGCACGTGGGTTTGGTCAGATTGTTCTCCTGCGTGCACAGGTGCACTGGGGTGCTCCCATCCAACCTGGATGGCTCCGAGTTCTCACAGGCGCCTCCTCCGTGTGTGTCCGTGTCCGTGGTTTTCACACTGGGATGGCAGCCTGTGGGTGCGTTGAGAAAGTAAGTCCCTGGGTCAGCGCGGGTGTTCCAGCAGCAGTGGTTGGAACAGGGCAGGCAACCAGGGCGTGCACTGCACGGCGTGAGGGTAGCACGGCTTCCCGCGGTGTCTGCTTTGGTGTCATACGCGTGTGTTTGTGGGCGTCTGTGCCTATGCTGGCGAGATGCAAGGTGTGTTTCCTACAGTGGGCTGAGGAGAGAAGTCGAAGCCGTATTTCTCATAGTCGGGTTATGCTGGGTGTTTGGTCACTGTCGCTAGAGTGCGCGTGCCCTGGGGTGAGACTCCTGCTTCCTTTGAAGGTTCAAAGCTGGACGTCCTTCGGGTGTGTATTTGGCATTCCTTCTTCGTCATTCCTTTGCAGAACTGATCGGTTCATTGTTTTTCCTCCAAGTGCACACTGGCTGTCCTGGGTAGATCGAGTCGCATTGGAAAACATGCACCCAGGCGGTCACCTGCAATAATGATCGAGCCTGAACCCCGTGCGCTAATACCGAATCCTGGAATTCACGACCAGAACTCTCCTGTTTCGGTCTGCCTTCCACAGCGGCTTCTCATCAGCCAGTTTCTTCATTCAGTCCACAGTGTGGAGTGACTGGCGTGGACAGGCCCCTGGCGGGGCAGTGACTGACCGTAGTCCGCTGGGTCGGGCCGTTGTCTGTCCGCGTGTGAGTGGTGGTTGGGAAGGGAACAGCGCCGGAGCCCTCTGCTGAGAACAGACCGCTGTTCCCAGTCCTTCCTCTGACCTTCGCTAGGTGACTGACCCTGAGCAAGCAGGTGACCGGAGCTCCCGGAGTCCCAGTCTCCTTCCTTGTTAACCGGGGACTTTCTCCCATGGGCCACTGGGCGTGTGGCAGGCGGGTTCAGGAGGTTCCATTTCATGTCTCGTACCGCTTACTGAACCGCCATTCAGTACTGGCGAGGTCCCCTGTGAGGTCCTGTGAGGTCCCGTGTGAGGTCCCCTGTGAGGTCCTCTAGTGAGGTCCCCCGATGAGGTCCCCTGGTGAGGTCCCCTGTGAGGTCCCCTGGTGAGGTCCCCTGGTGAGGTCCCCCGGTGAGGTCCCCTGGTGAGGTCCCCCGGTGAGGTCCCCTGTGAGGTCCTCCGGTGAGGTCCCCCGGTGAGGTCCCCTGTGAGGTCCCCCGGTGAGGTCCCCAGTGAGGTCCCCTGTGAGGTTCCCTGTGAGGTCCCCTGTGAGGTCCTCCGGTGAGGTCCCCCGATGAGGTCTCCCGGTGAGGTCCCCTGTGAGGTTCCCTGTGAGGTCCCGTGTGAGGTCCCCTGTGAGGTCCTCTAGTGAGGTCCCCCAGTGAGGTCCTCCAGTGAGGTCCCCTGTGAGGTCCCCTGTGAGGTCCCTCGGTGAGGTCCCCCGGTGAGGTCCTCCAGTGAGGTCCCCTGTGAGGTCCCCGGTGAGGTCCCCTGGCGAGGTCCCCTGTGAGGTCCCCCGGTGAGGTCCCCCGGTGAGGTCCCCTGTGAGGTCCCCTGTGAGGTCCCCAGTGAGGTCCCCTGGCGAGGTCCCCGGTGAGGTCCCCCGGTGAGGTCCCCTGTGAGGTCCCCCGGTGAGGTCCCCTGGCGAGGTCCCCTGTGAGGTCCCCCGGTGAGGTCCCCTGTGAGGTCCCCCGGTGAGGTCCCCTGTGAGGTCCCCCGGTGAGGTCCCCTGTGAGGTCCTCTGTGAGGTCCCCCTGTGAGGTCCCCTGGCGAGGTCCCCTGTGAGGTCCCCCGGTGAGGTCCCCCGGTGAGGTCCCCTGTGAGGTCCCCTGTGAGGTCCCCCGGTGAGGTCCCCTGGCGAGGTCCCCTGTGAGGTCCCCCGGTGAGGTCCCCTGTGAGATCCCCTGTGAGGTCCCCCTGTGAGGTCCCCTGTGAGGTCCCCCGGTGAGGTCCCCCGGTGAGGTGCCCCGGTGAGGTCCCCTGTGAGGTCCCCTGTGAGGTCCCCTGTGAGGTCCCCCGGTGAGGTCCCCTGTGAGGTCCCCCGGTGAGGTGATCATGATTCCCTTTCATAGACGTGTCCTTGGGGCTGTGTCCCACCTGACGGGTGATGCTGGGTGTCCAGTGTCAGCGTGGGGTGGCCTGGGGCGCATGGAGCTTCGAGTGTCTCTGGAGCCTGCTCCCTGACCCCACGCCAGTCCCTGTGTGCATGTATGAAGAGCAGTGTCCCGTGTCGTTGGGGAGCTGTGCTGGGATCTTAGGACCCTAGTCTCGACTTCAGGACTCTCAGGAGCGTTTTCTGCCCCCAAGTTAATAATGAAGACAGCCCTGCTGCTCAGACCTTTCCTCCGTCTGTAAAGTGACGGCGGGGTTAGCTGGTTGTAAGTCCTTTAAGCTCTAACATCTTACTGTCCCCAGGGGCTGGGTTTTCTATTATTCATTAAGTAATTTGTATCCCTTCAAACATTGCTTTGGTGGTTATTCCTACCCCCCCCACTTGTTCATCCAAAGTGTCCCTAGGGTTTGGTGGCTTTTCCGTCCTCCTCCTCCTTAGGAAGGAAGGCTGAAGGCCAGGCACAGCAGGTTGGGAGGGCGCTCAGGGGGCTGTGTCCTCCTGAGCACCTTCTCCAGGACCCGCGGCCAGCGACTCCGCCCCCCGCCCACGCCCTTCTCCATGGGGTCCTGCACGGTCCCTCCCTCCTTGCTCCGCTGCCTTAGTAAGCAAAGGATCGCTTACCTGTTACCTGCCTCGCAGGTCCCCCGGGTGACCGCAGCCACCTGTGCACCAGAGGTTCTCACCTGGGAGCTGGTCAAAGTGCAGCCCCCGGGCCCCTCCCGGGACCGTGATCCCCGCTTCGGTCCTCCGGCAGGGGGGCGGCAAGCAGGCGCGCTGAGGTCACTGGTGTCTGGCTGCCCTTGGCTGTCGGGAAGATGGGCAGAATTCAAACCGTGTTCATGAGTCTCCCTCTGAGAGCGGCAAGCTTGCTTCTTTTTCCTTCATAATTGGGATGAATGTATGATTTTTATGGAAACCAGGTGACTCTCCGCCTGGTGGGCTTGTCTCTCATGTCAGGCAGAACCCAGCGCCTGTCATTCAGGACCACGGGCCGGAGGCAGGGACTCGGGGCCTTGTCAGAATTTGAACGTTAGGCCATTTGACCCCTTTGATCTTGGCTCCTGGATTGTTGGATTCAGGACCTTGGGCTAAGCACAGACTAAGTTGGATGTTAAAATATGGACATGTTTTGTGCTGTATAAATTGGTATTTTAAATCAATCGTGGGGCGTGAAGAGTCAGAGAAAAAGTTTTTAGCGGAAGGGGAAGAGCAGCTTGTTCTCAGTGACTTGACGGTTGTATTAATGCCTTTTCCATACGATGATCCCCACTCAGGGTGAGAAGTTTGGACCGTTCGCCGGGGAGAAGAGGGTGCCGGAGGACCTGGACGAGAAGATGGACTACAGGCTGATGTGGGAGGTGAGGCCCTGGTGCTGCTCGCACACTTCAGGTCTGTCTCTTCCCCCATGTGGTGCCTTTACCAGGTGAGCTCTCGACACTGACTCCAGGTGACCTGCAGCACTGCAGTTCCGACCGTAAGGAGCCGACTAACCGAACGGCTAGCACGTGAAGAAAGTCCCGTGGCGCCGTCTTCCTAGCACTGGGAAGTGTGTGGGGCTCATCACTGGGAAGGAAGCTTCCCAGGCATCAGGAGGTTTCGAAATACGCGCGTGCTTGCCCTGCACTGAGGCTTTGGTGTCTGTGCGCGAGCCTACACCCTTCCTTCACCTGTATTTCCTAGTTGTCGTTCCGAAGGCGTAGAAACGGGTCTGAGCTCCACGGGGGAATGAAAAACCCCGCCTTCAAATGCACCTTCCTTGGGAAACGGGACGCGTCTACCTCGACAGGAGCAAACTGCGCTCTTCGAGCAGGTTGTCCGCTTTCCTGCCCTCCAGACCGTGTGGTCTTCGAGGACCTGAAGTCACAGGTCGTGGGGGGCACGGGCTTTCCGTGCCCGGGCTCACTGCCTGGCGTCTAGAGGTTTCGCATTTGTTGATTTTCCCAGGTCTTCCCCCTTGAGGCTTGATGAGGACACCGTCCTTCTTACCTCCGAGGTCGGGGGGGGGACCAGGGCAGTGACAGCCGGCCGGAGAGCGGCCTGTCACGAGCACGGATGTCAGCGTGTCCGAGCTTCATTTCCTTTTTCCAGTAGAAAAGATGTTGTGCCTCTGGCTAAATAACATGTTCTCGAAAACATAGCTGCCAAGATATATGATTACAGGATCTGCAGGTGTTTTCATAGAAATTGTTCCTCTCCTGTCATTACAGTAAAGTATTTCAAAATAAATGTGCCTACCAGGTGAGGTGAGACCCCTTCTATAATTGAGCCTTAAAAACAATAAATATGGATTTGGGGGGAACCTCCTTCCCAAGCCCCTATACTCCACTTCACGTACACACGGGGGTGGCTCCTAATTAACAACCCCTCCCTCCTCCTTCTGACCACAGGAGACGGGGCAGGGGCGGTGAAGACAGAAATACCTGCCTCATTAATAAGGGCGCAGCATCCCCTAGTGCAGGGCCCCAGAAAAGCTGAACTGGAGAAAGCGACTGGGGTCCGAGGCCAGTCTTAAATCTTGACCTTTGTAACTCATGTGGCAAGAACTGGGCCTGCAAGGTAGGTTCTGAATATCCTTGTCCACCAGCTGCATGGACACCTGGGACCCACTCATGTGGGGGAGCCCAGTGAGCCTGGACAGGGATGGTCCCAGCCCGAGGAGAAGGCACAGCTGGGAGGTGGGCGGGCGCTGGGCTTGCAGAGCAGTGACTGGCAGGATCCGTGGCGGCGAGAAACCCGGAGCCCACTGACCCTGATCCATCTCCCACGGAGGATAAAGTGAGGACAGGGTGGGGGGTGGGGGTTCTTCATGAGAACACGGGCGTGGAGAACTGGGGTTCCTTTCTCATCCTGAGGAATGAGGCGCTGTTTGGAATTCTCTGCAAAGCAAAACCAGGCCTGGGCAGTGGAGCATGAACGCATGATGGGAAGAGTTAGCAAGTTGTGGTGGTGGATTCACAATTTATGTGAAGATCCCAAGGGCCGCGAGTTGCCATGGCATCTTTGAAGTGAAAGAATAAACCAGGAGGACTTATCTATCAGAGACCACACTTTTATAAACACATTCTGACTTATACTGTGGTCCAGGCATGGGGTAGACCAGTAGCACTGTGTTTGACAAAGATGTCATCAACAGCGTGGTGGGACGGGATGGCATTTGCAATAACAGTGCTGGGTAAAAATGATATCCTTATGGCTACAAAGGTATTCTGACCCTTAACTCACACCATATGTAAAAAATCAATTTAATATCATTGTAAATGTAAACATGTCAGGTAGAACAATGAACCTTTAGGAGAAAACGTGGAAGAATACCCCCATGGTCTTAGGGCAGGCGGAGGGTTCTTAAATAGTAACCAACAACACTGGGAAGGGAAAAGGGGTGCATCGGAGACCAGCGAGACGAAGAACCGTGCGTCAGAAGACTCCACGAAGAGAATGAAAAAGCACGTAACAGACGAGGAGAAGTTATTTCTACTACATTGGTCTGCAAAAAGAGCGGTGTTCCAAATGCATTGAGAACTAAAAATCGATTTCACAATAGAAAAATGGGCAAAACACTGGAACAGGCACTTCACGCAAGACGATATCCAAATGGCCAATAGGCATGAATGATGGCCAAGCTCACTGTCATCTGGGACATGCAAAGCAGCAGCAGAAGGAAGTCGTTGAGGGCATTTCATTGGGAGCCTGACATGGTCTGTTCACATCTTTAGAAACGCCCTGTGTCTGTGCGAGAGCAGGCCAAGGGAGGCAGGAGTCTGCAGGGGCACCGGGCATGAAGGAGCCTGTTCTGTGGTCAGGGTGTGGTTTGATGGGGGCTGGGCTTGGACCTTGGCAATGGGCTTGGTGAGAAGTAGCCGGCTTCTATGTCCAGATGGTGTAGCTCCGTGGTTGAGTGTCGACCCATGCCCCAGAAGTGGCCGGCTTCTGGTTAAGTGGGGGATCACACACACGCACAGGGCTCGCTGATGCATTGTGTGGTGGAAGAGAAAAGTCCGGAATGTTTCTGAAATGTTTGGCCTGAGCTACATGGGTGGAAGGTGGTGACGTATCTGACACAGGGCAGTTGGAGGTAAGCGTGAAGTAGTCCACCGACTACTGCACCGTGAACTTTTGAAGACAGAGCGTTATCCTGCTCATCCTTACCTCATGGTATCTGGAACATCAATATAATATAATTGGATAAAAGTACAGTTTATGTCATAGCCAATAATTAATAGCTCATTGATATTCAATGCATATGGTGAATAAATGCATGTTATTTTTAACATGGGCATTCTTAGAAGATGCAAAATTTAAAGATTGAAAAAGATGGCTCATCAGTTCCTACTTGACTCCTTGGGTTTTTCTGCCTTGTAGACGTTTGTTTGTGGGGAAGACGATGATTTGACTGAGAGGTGGTTTTTGGAGAAGCTGGTTGGTTGGTTATTAAACCGGACATTTGTTTAGATGTTTTCCTCTCTCTCTGCAGTTATTTTGTGATTACAGCTGTTCTGCTGTTTGGGAACTTGATTCAGCACCAGGTTTCCAATGTGTTTTAGTTTTGGGGGAAAATGTTTTCAATTGTTTAAAATCTTTTATTTTCCTTGATTGTTTATGGGAGTCTTTTGAGGTGTTTGGAACAAAGACTTGTCTTCACCAAATGTTTTTCTTTTGTGGACGATAACATTTCGTCTTAGGTTCCAAATGGAACCACTCAGCGTAGCTATCTGGGGGCAAATACCACCCAGGAAGCCTGGTGGGACCCAAAGCAAACATCTCGGTCCTTCCTGCCGCCCAGTCCTCCCGCTGGGATGAAACAGCAGAGGGGCGGCGCCTGCCTGCGGAGTCCTCGTGGTTTCATGGCCGTCTCCTCTTCCCACAAGGAGGCTCCCAGCGAGTGTGTCGGCCAACCTCTGGCCATTCCACCAGGCCCGACGTTTGAGGAGAAGAACCCTGGAAATCCACGCCAAGTAGTTTGGTTGAAAAGCAAGAAACACAACAATATCTGCATTGTTGTAGACCTTTCACCGTATTTGTGGTTCTGATCACAACTCTCAGCACTATAAGAGTTTTATCAGTAGATGCGTTTGGCTCCGAGAAACAGCAGCTACATCCTATTTAAAAAACGCGGAGTGTGTCAGGTAAGAGGAAGTTCAGTAGCGTGGCAGGCTCGGGAGCGGTTGATCAGTTAGCTTCACGATGTTGCCCACGTTCGTGCCATCTCTCTGCGCTGCTGACTTTCGTGGTGGCTGGGTCCTCGAGCTGGTGGTGGGCAGCAGCAGGGTTCAGACAAGGCAGTGTCCTTGGGGGCGAGGACACCTGCCCTGTGGTGTCTGGGTCCTCGAGCTGGTGGTGGGCAGCAGCAGGGTTCAGACAAGGCAGTGTCCTTGGGGGCGAGGACACCTGCCCTGTGGTGTCTGGGTCCTCGAGCTGGTGGTGGGCAGCAGCAGGGTTCAGACAAGGCAGTGTCCATGGGGGCGAGGACACCTGCCCTGCTTCTCCACGCGTCTCCCCCAATGCAGGGGGCGGGGCAAAAGTAAGTTCATGGCTGTTTACGTGGAAAATAATACAATAATAAATGATACTACAGGGATAGACTCTGTCTGCGTACTCACCACTGTAGCCTACGTTTGCCCGCCCTGTCCATCCCGTCATCTTGATCGGGATGGCGGAGAGGCTGCCCTACCCCCTACCGGTCAGGCAGAGCCCAGAGCTGGGCGGTCAGCTTCCAGCGGGGCGGCCCTGGGCACGGATTTGTCTTTGAGGAAGGAGGGGGGTGTCCGCTCCCAGGCAGAGTTCTCCACGGGAACGACGCGTCTGTCGTCTGTTCAATCAACAGCTACTGTGTCCTGAATGCGTCCTCCGCCCTGATGGTGCGTGAGGCGCTGGGTTACCTGGGGGACACGTCCGCCTGGCAGAGAAGGGACGTGTCCGTCCGCCCTGATGGTGCATGAGGCGCTGGGTTACCTGGGGGACACGTCCGCCTGGCAGAGAAGGGACGTGTCCGCGTCTCCGTGTTTCCCTGTTCTCCAGGGTCCGAGTGGGGAGCGTGGCAGCTCACTCAGTGCAAGTCTGTCTGCTTCTCAGGACCTGCTGGAGGAACAGGCTTCGCAGGTTCTTCCTAAAGGGGGCGCAGGTGTTTCCGTAGGGGTGCCGCGCGGGGGGGCGTGTCGGTGAGGGGGTGCGTGTGCCAGCCAGGCGCAGGACACTCATTGTCACTACACAAGGCACGTGTGACGACAGGCGATATAAACGAGTGGAGCAATAGGCATGAAGTGAAAGCCCTCACTCTCCGCCCGGGGACTCTGCAGATCGCCTGTGCATCTCCACACATATTTAAGACCAACAGGAATTAGGACTTTCACGTTTATCTTAT